TTTTACTTTCTCAAGATAGCCAATTTTTCAAATCCTGTTTTTCTTCACCTAAAGCATAGACTTGAAATGATAGTTCTGGTAATAGTGCTGGGCACATTAGTCTTCATGCCTTTTAATCTTACTATGATAAGCATATATATCAGCATCCAAATACATTCATATAAAAGAAATATGACTTCAAGTTCCAGAAAGAGTGACACTGAAACCTTTTCAAAACTGATTATATTCACCATGGGATCCTTCATACCCTTTTCTGCATCCCTCAGTTTTTTTCTCCTGTTAATCTTCTCGCTATGGAAGCATCTCAAGAATATGAAGGTCAGTGCAACAGGATTCAGAGATCCTAGCGTCAGTGCTCATATGAGAGCCATGATATCTGTGATGTTTTCCCTTTCACTATTTGCTATTTACTTCCTGTCTCTTCAAATAACAACTTTCCATTCTGAGGTGTTGCAGAACAAACTGGTCCTGATGTTTGTTCAGACTACTGCAAGTGCTTATCCTTCAGTCCACACACTTATCCTGATTCTGGCAAATGGTGAACTGAGAAAGGCTTCTCTTTTGGTGCTGTGGCAGCTGAGGTGCTGTTGAATGCTGGAAAAGACTCACATCCATAGAACATTCTGGTGAGCATCTTATACAAGCTAGAAGAAAAAAGCTGTTAAAGAATTCTTGGGTGGTATTTCACCTTTCTTTGGGTTTCTTCTGTAATGTGTAACATTGAATATTTTTCAAATATTTATCTGAAATAGGCTCATATTTATGCATATAAAAGGTTAGTTTCATATATATGTATGTATATATATAATATGTTAATACAAAAGGAAAAATATTAAATGCATTACCTAAGCATAAGAATTTTTGCCAGCAAAAAGTAATATAGTGTTTCAGTTTTTACCTCTTTGGAAAAATGTTAATAAAAATGTCAAAAATCTACACAGCAGACTCATATTTAATGAAATATGCAGGTTATAATTTTTATGCATATCAGGTTGCCAATAGTTTGAGTCAATTTACGAATATTTCTTATTGTACCTTTCTCTGAATCCATAAGCAGCCAGCAGTTTTCTCACTTTTTTCACTTTATCACTTTCCATTCAATGATTCATGAGGTATACATACATATATATATTTACACATTATCAGGAGA